CACGTGGTCGTGCACTTGGTCACTTCCTTGCAACATGGATCCACGCATGTGGTTGTGCACTTGGTCACTCTGTCACAGCATGGATCCACACACGTGGTCGTGCACTTGGTCACTTCCTTGCAACATGGATCCACGCATGTGGTTGTGCACTTGGTCACTCTGTCACAGCAGGGATCCACACACGTGGTCGTGCACTTGGTCACTTCCTTGCAACATGGATCCACACACGTGGTGGTGCATTTGGTTACTCTGTCACAGCAGGGATCCACACACGTGGTCGTGCACTTGGTCACTCTGTCGCAGCAGGGATCCACACACGTAGTGGTGCACTTGGTCACTCTGTCGCAGCAGGGATCCACGCACGTAGTGGTGCACTTGGTCACTTCCTCACAGCATGAATCTTCACATCTGGTGGTGCACTCGGTCACTTTGCAGCAGCATGGGTCTGGACGTGTGGTTGTGCACTTGGTCACTTCCTCACAGCACGGAGGTACACACGTGGTGACTCCGAGGCAGCATGGATCCACGCACCTGGCAGTCTGTGTCACACCAAGATTACCCAGGTTCACGTAAGTGGTGGTGCCCTGAGGAATCCTAGCATAGTAGCAGGGATCCCCACACGGAGGCAAGCGTTGGACGTTACAGACAGCACCACAGGGATCCGTACATTTTTTCACAGGAAAACTCCTCACCAAGATGGTGGGAGGTGGAAGGCAGAGCTGTCTCAGTTGGCAATCATTTTGGCAATGCATCTTTAAGGGAGGGGTAACGTCTGAAAGCAGGAAAGGAATATACTTTGTGGAAAACAGAGACATTTGGCTTTCATGAAGCTATTTTATACACCGAGTTAAACTATACTATTCAGCAGAATATTCAACAATATACTGGGAAAACAGCCTGAAATCCATAGCAGGGCACTAACTCCAGATGAAAGCATTTTAGACAAGTTTGTAGCTACTGGCTGCACATGCATGTTAACTTCTTCTCAAAACAGGAAAGAAAAGTGGTGTTATCTGGACTCAGCTAGATTATATTGCAGGGTCTGAAGTCATGACAGCCCCCACCTGTCCACAGCTCCCCTTGGTTTGGGATTAACTCTTTGACGTTACTTCCCTATTTCTACCCAAAAAGGAGACCACTAGGCTTCTGATAGCGCCCTGTCCACATGCAGGTCCTCAGCTAGAGGACGTGAGTGGAGGCTTCATGCTGGAAAACTTCCACAAAAAAAGGATCTGATGCTCACAGTGCAGCTGCTTTCCCACCTTGCCACAGAAGTCCTCCTAGCTCTTCTTACCCAGACTTCCTTCCAGACATTGCTTACCCTTGCAGCCTGCAAGTCTCCACTTCTTATCTTCCCTCCCACTTTTTTCCTTTGAAGTTCTAGCTTTGCCTTTTGATCTCTCTCAAACCCAATAATTTCCTGGTTAAAACAGGGTAGCAATGTTATTGGGGAAAGAGAGAGGTTAGTCCACTCTCAACTACCCTGAGACATCTTGATGGAGAAAGCACAGCAATTGCAAAACATACAGCAAATAAAGACTAGCAGAATGATGGAATGAATATTTACCCTTAGTTCAGCTGCTTGATAAGTACCATACACAAATCTCGCTAAGCAGAAGCACTCATAAGTCTCCGAACTTGCTTCTGCGGACAATATTTAAAAATTAAATAACCCCAGCCACTACATTACTTCCCACTAAGCCAAGAGAGACTTACCCAATTCACCACCAGCAACTAGCAAACGAAACCAAAATGGTTTGAGAAACACTACAATATGAATCCTTTTATATGATTTCAGTGTCCATGTCTCCGGAAGTGAGACACCTCAGGGGTATGGAAATAAAATTTTTAATAATCCAGACCTGCTCCACCTCCAATCCTTAAATTACTCGCTTACATTATAATTTTTAATGAAACCTAGCCACTGAGGTGGTACATACGACACTATGACTGCTGCCTGCAAGCTTGAATTCCTGATCCATGTATTTCCTAGGGGGGGATGGGAAACAAAGAACTGATGATACAGCTTGGAAACAATCCTACCTGGGATTAAACTTTTTTGGATAAAAGTTAATTTGGTACATTTTCTTGCACCTTCCCCTGAGACAGCCATACAGACCAGGATTACAGATGGAATAGGACTCTGTAAGTGGCTTTGTTCTGCTCTGCTGTGCAGGTTTGCTTGCTCTTACTAGCACACAATATCCCTCCTACTGAGAATTTTATTCCCAATAGTCTGGTCAGAATTTCCCTTGTTGTAACTTGCAGTTATTACCTCTCACCCTGTCACTGGGCACCTCCGAGAAGAGCCTCTCCATTAATACTCTTTAGATAGCTGAAAGGGACCCCATGATCTCCGCTAAGTCTTTTTCTTCCCAGGGTGAGCAGGTTCTTCAGACTCTCCCCATCCATCATCTCCTCAAGGCCCCTGGACCATCTTGGTGGTCTCCACTGAACTAACTCCAGTTTGTTGGAGACTGTCTTGCACTATGGGCCCCAAGCTGGACACAGTGTCCAGATGTGGTCTCACATGTGCCAGATGAAGGGGACCACTCACTCCCCTGAAACTGCTGGTGTACGATCGAGGGTGCAGCCCAGTCCATGGGACTACCCAAGTTTTCTGGGCAGCTTCATAACATCTCTGCTCCTCAACCAAGTGCGGTATGCCGGCATAGCCAAAATTTGTCATAATTTTGCAGTTAGGCAGCCAGGGAAGGCTTCACACTGTGTTAAGATCTTCAGTGTCACTTAGGCTCCTTCCAGGACTTCTCCTCCAAGGGCCTATCTCTATGCAGTGGTTCTCCAGGGTGACGAACCATCTGTGTTTGGTGCTCTGACCACAGTGTCCATGGTAGTGGCCCTTTTCAGTTTGCTGTGCACATTTCTGTCATATATCTGGCTAAACCAAGACTGACTACCATTCATGAAAGGTAGCAAACTGCATGACTGCCACAGCATGGAGTTGCCGCTTTCTGCCTGCCACAATTGCAGTCAAGTAAAGATGTTCTTGTCTGAAAATCCCTCGTTAGACAAGAAAAGGGAGATCCAACAAGTGCATGGCCTGTGATAGATCAAAGACTCTGAAACTTCCTTCACTGCTTGCTCCGAACTAGCCTTAAGTCACTTGGTGACACAAACATCAAACCAGTATTACTTGCATGCAGAGACGAGGGCATATATCATCTGGAGACAAAGGTGCCTTCTTCTGCCTGCACACCATTCTCCCTTTAAACATGTGTGTCCATGCTGCTGAGCACAGTGGTGTCCAACGTAGCGGCTTTCAGTTAAGTCATAAATAAATTTGGGATGTGTGACCACTTGGGTTGCCAGTTCGCTGCTGACGACAGTGATTTGAATCAACCCTTAGTACTATTCAGCTGACTTTGGTAAACCGGTGGGCCGAAGGAAAAAGGGTGGTGGTCACTCCTGGCACCCATCTGCTCTTCAGGAGTGTACCCGCATGAGGATAAAGACAACATCATGGCGATGGAATTGTGTTATGTTGTTTGAGCCAGAGCTTTAGGAGACAATGCAAAACATCACGAGACTAGTGATGATATAAGAGTTTCCAGAACCACGTCAGGACACTACCACCAGCAGCACCATGTCTGAATAGGTCAGCGGCAGTGACAGAAAGAGGTCAGATGTAGCTAAAAATAAAAGAATCCCCCAGATCCCACATCCCATCCTGTCTCTAATGGCCCGCATGATGTGTTGGGCTGGAGGATGTTTTACCATTACAGAAAAACTGACCCATGACTGGCCGACTATTTGAGAGCAAGCCGAGAGTCCATTCATTTCCCAAATTCTTCTCTGACGTCAGCCCCGCTGAAAGGACACGTGAATTCGCAAGCCATCTTTGCTCATTCGAGGTTACGCTACAGCTACGGAAATAGCCAGTTTCCATTAAAAATAATTAGTCAAACAATCCATCACAGGGTAGAGGTGGAGCAGGTCTGGGTTAGCAAAGGGTAGCTTGTCTGTGTGCCTGGGGCACCTCATCTCCGGAGGCCAGGCTGTTGAATATACAAGGCAGATCCCTGGTTAAAGTTGCCGTGTCTGCTCACCGTCTTTATTTGCTGATACCGAGCTGGGTAAGTATCTTCGGGATCGTACAGATCTAAGCCTATTACTGGTGTTAATTTTCTACTATTTGCTGAAATAGATTACTGCTACCAGCTGCTTAAGGGAAATTGTTTATTGTCTCTCACATCTCCTTGGTGATATGAGTTTGAAAGAGTAATAATCTTCCTTCGTGCTTACTTTGCTGTAATTCCCACGGATGCTCTGCAAAATGCTTCTTGTTGCCTCAGCACCGGATTTAGAGGGCTCAAACACCGTCTTGCTCACTGAGTGCCTACGCGGGACTGCTGTGCATGTAGTTATCGTCTGAGCAGTGAAGTGATTACAGCATCGCATACAGCAGCGGCCAAGGTCCCAGGTAAGAGTGCCTAGCCTCACGGTAAACCTGAACAACTACGTCTGTCTTTTGCCTGTCTAGCCTGTTGTTGCATTTAGCAATAGTGAAGGTAGGACAGTGATAGCTGCACTTCTTGCACCTGCTGTGAGATGGGTATTCTCCTGCAAAGGAGTCTCAGGACAAGGAGAAAACATCTGGAAAAAGAGAGGGGGTTAACTTCATGTTTATAAGCCTGCTGGAAATGTTAATCAAATCCACTGTTATCTTTGCAAGAAAACACTGCTAGGGTGAAACTGTTTGGCTGAAAACAGATTTTAATAAGAAAAACTGAGCTTGGAAGTGTATTCCAAAAAAAAAAAAAAAGAATGATCAAACTTCTTTTCATAAGGAGTGGCTGCAGAATTTGAAAGAAAAACCAGCAAAATATCTCTGTGTTCCTTATTTTATGACCAAATTGGGGCACAAAGAGCAACCGTCTTGCTGAAGAATTCACCAGCCAAGACAATGAAATGTCTGATGCTTTGGGTTAGTAGACACCAAATTGCTCTTTTTCTTTCAGGCTTGCCTGCAGTGCAGAAAGATGTCTTCCCAGTGCAAGCTGTCCTGCCTGCCCCCTTCTGCCTGCACTGAGGAGACTGCACACACTGACACTTGCCCATCACTTTGTGCCGTGGTGGACCTGGATGTCTGCCCTGTGCAGGACATGCACCCCTGTCCTGAGAAGACTTTCCAGGTGGATCCCTGCACGTGTCAGGGTGCTGCCACCTGCCTGGATGCTTGCTCTCAGGTTGGGGTCACCTGCCCACCTCCTGCTGTCCCTGTGCCCGGGGATGCCTGCTGCCCTGAGCACACAGCTGCCTGGGACTCCTGTGCACCTCCATGTGTGGGTGCCTGTGTGTGTGCAGCAGCAATCCCCTGTGATCCCCCTCAAAGCAAGGGAGGGACCAGCTTCCAATTCCAGCCCACAGGCTCACCAGTGGAGCCTTGTACCCCTGAGGCAGCTGGGACATGTGTGGAAACCTTCCCCTTCCAGCATGCAATCTCGCCAGTGGATCCCTGCATCCCTGAGACAGCTGGGACCCACGTGGAAACCTTTCCCGTGAAGTACCCAACCTCAGCAATGGATCCCTGCACCCTTGAGACAGAAGAGACCTGTGTGAAGACCTTCCCCCTCCAGCACACAATCCCAACGGTGGAGCTCTGCCCCATTGACACAGCTGGGACATGCATGGAGACCTCCCCCCTCCAGCAAGCAATCTCACCAGTGGAGCCTTGCATCCCTGAGACAGTTGGGACCTGCATGGAAAACATCTCCTTGCAGCACCCGGTCTCACTTACGGAGCCCTGCACCCTTGAGGTGCTTGAGGCCTGCAGGGAGGAGCCCTGCTGTGCTCAGGGTGTGATCATTGGTGATCCCTGCCCCAACCAGTGCTTGGCTACGTGCGTGGATCCCTGCACATCCAAAAGCGTGATTTGCACGGAGCCGTGCGTGTCCCAGAGTGCTGCAGAACCCACGGGGACATGCACACCCCAGAGCACCGTGGAGCTATGCACATCCCAGGACACCATGGAGCTCTGCACACCCCAGGACACCGCAGGATCTGCGGACACCAGCTCTACCAAGGGCATAGCCAAGGGTACCAACGCCCGCCCATCCCCACGAGCACCTTTCCGCCTGAACACCCACACCGCTGCCATTGTGGAGCGGTGTCTTTCCAGGTGTCAAAACTGGCTGCGAGGCAAGAAATAAGAGTGGCGTCAGTGGGCACACGGCAAAGAAGAGGTTTCCCTGCATAAATGAGACCTCCTCTGGTGAGTCTCTTGGTTTCTCATGTGTAACAACGAGAGAGAAAATTGCTTCATGTTAAATAAAAAAAATATTTTTCAATCATCTCTTAATTATGGCTCTTATATTTATTGCCTAATGTTAACTGCAATAATAATGGCAAAAGTGCAAGCAAGTATTAATTGCATTCACAGAGACCCGTTTCATCATCTTCAACTTTTTTACTTCCCACATAGAAATAACTAGTTTCATAATCTGCCTTAAATTGTTGTGATTTTTGCCTTTGGGTTTTCTATCCTCTTTTTTAATGGTCTTTTAGATTGAAATTATTATGAGAATATTGAGAAAAGTAGCCCAAAGGCATCATTTTAACATAGCTTGAGAAAAGGGCTTTTAAGGAGATACAAAATGACAGACGGCATTTGGGGTGAAGAAAGAGCAAACACTGAACAGAAACAAGTTGCAGAAAACACCAGGAGAAGAGTAATGCTGAGAAACGGGAATTTTGTTGCACAATGTCCAGTTGAAGACTGGGTAAAACTCTGTATAATTAAAAGTTTTCATCATGTAACAGATTTCCCTAGAATGGGAGTTATATCTCTAAATATTAGCAGCAACCTGATGCAGTAGATGGATAAAGTTTTTTAAAAGTTATAGAAATACCAGGTTGGGGGAAGGATATGCCAATTATTCCTGCAGCTGCCTGCCATGCAATTGATATATTATCTGACATTTCTTGCCTAGCAGCCCTATCAGACTCGGTGGTAGCATCCAGGGCTCCCGGTGGCACTTGGTCATGAGCTGCTGTTCGCTGATGCAGCAAGAAGACCCCAAACCAGCTCAGGAAAAATGATGAGAACCAGCCTAGGCATCTGTAAACAGCTGCTCAGTTAAAGCCATTTTTATTGTATTATGGCACTTTGTTTGCTGGGTCTTTAATATTATCTGTTAGAAAGGATTTTTCTGCCTCCATACGCATGTCAAATAAAATATATCTATGTGTTAGCGCTCTCTGTGTATTTGCAAAGAGATGAAACAAGTCCTTATAGTGTAGCGATAATCACAGTTTATTGGATTGAAGGAATAAATCTTGATGAATCTGTAAAGTTTGTCAGCTGTTTCCTTTTTTTCCCCCAGTAAATAAATCAACAGATATCATTCTCAAGACACTATGCCAGATTACCGTGCCTGAACCTACATATATCACCCATTATGTTGTAATAAGACTCTTCTGTGAGTTAGATTAGATCTGCAGCATTAGACTTTGGAAACACCTGTAAATCAAACATTAGTGAAGATAGCCTATAGTAACGTAAAAAATGACTACTAAAGATGAACCAGCAAAGATGATAAGCAGAGGAATACTGTTTACTGTAGCACCAAATACACCCTTGCAAAGTCAGATAAGCTCAGCTCATTGTTACAAGACACCGTATTACTAGGCTGTTCTTTACAAATTGTTGTGCTCTCCCACATAATCTCAGTTACAAAAATAACTTCTCATTACACACTAGCATCGCTCCGGCTGATGCTTCCCCTCACAGTCACAACATTTATGGTTATGCCAACACAGTGCGCTCCATCCCAGCACATTTGACATACAAACACCCATCTACTGATGGTCAGAGTTTGCTGGGTGTTTCTGAGTTCTTACTAACAACAATAAAACAAAACTGTGAGACTGAGCCATTTCCTCCAGCACAGCAGCCGCTCAGCAAGCGAGGAAATGAGTTTCCTTTCCTCAAGCATCATTAAGATGGAGGTGTTCGTCAAGACTAAGGTCAAGGTTTCTTTAGCTCTTTAAAGGGCTCCACAGTCCACCCAGGGCCACATGTATGTCATGTTTTATATGAAAACTAAACCTAGAAAAATTTGTCCTTTTTGTTTGGTGCATCAACTGTAATTTCTCCATGAGCCAGCAGTGTGCCCTTGTGGCCAAGAAGGCCAATGGTATCCTGTGGTGCACTGAGAAGAGCGTGGCCAGCAGGTCAAGGGAGGTTCTCCTCCCCCTCTACTCTGCCCTGGTGAGGCCACATCTGGAGTTGTGTGCCCAGTTCTGGGCTCCCCAGTTCAAGACAGATGGGAACTACTGGGGACAGTCCAGTGGAGGGCTACAAAGATGATTAAGGGACTTGACAATGTCTCATTTGAGGAAAAGCTGAGAAAGCTGGGGCTGTTTAGCCTGGAGAAGAGAAGACTGAGTGGGGATCTGATCAACACTTATCAATATCTAAAGGGTGGGTGTCAAGGGGAAGGGGCCAGACTCTTCTCAGTGGTGCCCAGTGACAGGACACGGGGCAACGGGCACAAACTGGAACACGGGAAGTTCCATCTGAACACGAGGAAAAAGTTCTTCACTCTGAGGGTGACCGAGCACTGGGACAGGCTGCCCAGAGAGGTTGTGGAGTCTCCTTCTCTGGAGAGATTCAAAACCCACCCAGACGCCATCCTGTGCAACATGCTCTAAGTGATCCTGCTTTAGCGGGGGCGGGGGGGGGGGGGGGGGGGGTGGACTAGACGATCTCGAGAGGTCCCTTCCAACACCTACCAATGTGTGAACCTGTGAATTTCAGTGAGCATTTCTTCATTCAAGCAGTCTGGGGCAGAGATGGTCTTTGTGGCTGGGCTGTAGTGCCCTGATCCCAGTTACAGTCCTGCAGTGCTGGTGGTAAAGCTGCAGAGCAGGAAAAGGACCAGATCCAGCCAGATCCTTTCACTAGTCCATGTTATCTAGGGGTGTACTGTGTTTGCATCTCAAAACTCATGAGCAAGCTGTTCATTACCTTCCCCCAGATCTTCATTCCTTTGATGGTTCTCATGTTCCCCTTGCCATGATCTCATTATTTCTGCCTTGTGACACCTCATCATCATCGGGGTGGAGTGTAATTGGTACAGCTGCAAAAGAGGCAGCAGGTGTGATTGTGGCATTCCTAACATATCAGCTAGTAATTTGTCCCTTTCCTACAGGGAGGTAGGAAAGGACAAAATGCCATCCAGCCCAGGTTTGGCCAAACTTTGCAAACATAAGTCAAGGACCTCATTTCTCAGGCATGGCTGACAAGGCTGAGAGCTTGCGTATGGACATCTCAGCTGGTACTGAGATGAAGGACCATAAGCTATACCCCAGGGCTGGTATTGCTTATTTCCTGGAGCCAAGTGAGTCATTTTAGGAAGCCAGTCCTTCAGAGCAGGTCAAGTGCTGCATGTCTGCAGTCTGGAGTCCACATTCTCCTGGCCTGACTCAGTATCTCCAGAGGGTCTTCCAGGCACAAGGAGAGGATTGAGAAGTTAAAATGAGGATCTCCCACCCTTTGCTAAAGGCAGAGGAGGTCAGCACCCCTTAGCGCAGCCAACTAACTCTTCAAAACACATACAAGCTGTACTAAGTGAAGCATTTAACAAAAATAATGAGTTTAGCCATTGACACATCGGCTCTGAATTCCCTATGTCTTCATCCCATTTTTTTCCCCTCTGGTTTTCAGCATCTTGCTTGGGTTCAGAACCAGGTGACTTTTGCCTGTGGGCTGCAACTGGCTCCGTTTGGAGCAGGGCACAGCTCTAAACTTCAGCACACACGTACACCCGGGGAAGAAGTTTCTGAGAATGGCTGGGCTGCCAGACCCAGCACACCTTCCTCTGCGCCCACCTTTCCAGTGTAAACAAACAGAAGTGTTGCTCTTAAAGCAGGTCACAGGCAGAACTGGTAGAGCCTGGTTTACATCATCTGTCCTGTGTCCAACAGCCCAGTGAAGGGAGAACATTAGTCCTTTCTACTACAGCAGCAGTAATCAAGTCTCTAAAGATTTTCATGAAAGTAGTAGAGATTTAGCATTTGTTTGAACCATGCCAGTGTGGCAAATTTGCTTGCAAATAATAGGTTAGAATATCAAAAATGAGAGCGTAGAAGCTTTACTTCTTGGGAAAGCCAAGCTAAAGAAAGATGAACCCCTTTTAAAAAAAAGAAAGCAGGTCATTTCCCTGTCTGTACATCTCTGGAAAAAAGGAGAGGGGCAGGTTGGGCAGGCAGGAGT